TACGTCATGTTTACTTGTTTACTATCCGAGGAACGGAGTTTCTTGGAGAATAATTTGTCATTTAATATTATTATTTAGTGGTAATTTTTTATTTTGTAAATAAGAAATTTTATATTCAATTCTTATAAAAGAAGAATTTAAAATTACATTATTATTAGTTTATTATGAGACTTAAACCATCCAATTCCGTTAGTATAAATAATATTGCTTGTAAAAAAATGTATTTTTATTTCATAATTCCTATTGTTTGAAAATTAAAATGTCAAAGGTTCAAAATTGACAAATAATGCAATATTTTTAAGAGTAAGAAGGTGAATAATAAAATGCAAAATTTTTAATCGTTAATAATAGAATGATTTTTTTTTTCTTTCGAAATAATAGAATGAAATGGAAAAAAGAAACAAATGTGTGTATGTGTTTCAGGTGTTTCTGTAGATTCTCTTTATTTCAAGAAAGTTTATTTCTGCCACTTAGTATTTTAGTTTAGTGGTATTCATCTCACTTGTAAGTGAGGGGTCTTAAGTTCGATTCTCACCAAAGGCAAATTTGAATCACATTATTACTAGTTCATTTTAAGTTTACCATCTATGTGTACCACCATTTATATCATCTCTCTAATAAAGATGACATTCACATTGTTGATGGACTCTACCTCTATTAAAGAGATGATATAAATGATAGTACATAGATAATAAGTGTAGCACTACCGACGTTCACATTAAATAATATCAAGACTTTTTGTATTATATGTACAATTTAACGGTATTAGGTTTGAATGTCAGAAGTTTTGTCCAATGTTTATGTAATATTGACGCTATCTTTATATAAGTTTTTTTTTAGTACATCGATATTTTTACACTAAGGGGAATATGAGTTCGGCAAAACCACACAATGTGCAGCCTATGTTGGTATCGAATTCGCCATCCACGAGATTCGAACCTAAAATTTCTCATTTCCAAGTAAAAAGAAATATCATCAAACCATAATAATAAGTGGTATCTTAATATAAGTTTGATACACATAATATTTAAGAGAGAATCCGAATAAAAAGAGAAATCCAGAGAAAATCGAATATAATTTGTTGGGTGGATGACTTGTTTTAGGATTGGGTGCGTGGCTGATCTGTCGACTTGTACTGGAGCTGGTGGTTTTATTATATATGTTGGGGTAATTTTATTTAAACCCATCTAACCTATTTCTACACCCAATTTACTCTTTTCACCCATTTGATTTTTAACTAAACTATTATTATCTCTTTAAACCCAAATTTAATACCTAATATACCCTTATAAACCTAATTCAGTATGTAGATTTATTTTTACACCCATTCAATTTTTAGTCAGATGTAAGATTGAAATCGAAGAAGAAGACTAAGAAGGAGAAGGAGGTGCTGCTCCATTTGTTAGCCATCACTCCATCAACGCCTCTTCTCCCTCTGCTAAATCTTCCCGCCACCGTGAATCTACCGCTTGGCAGCCTCTAGATCGTCAGACCCGCGGGGAGTCGAATCGGCCGGCACTCCGTCGTCGTCGTGCGGGGATTTGGTTTCTTTGGACTCCTCGATGGGTCCCATACACTTTGCGCGACCCTTTTATACAGATCTCATTTGTGAGCTTCTATGCTGAGTTTGGTAAGTTGTGCGATGCGCATAAGGTGTTTGAGGAAATGTCTGAACCATGTGTGGTTGCGTGGAATGCGATGATTGATGGGTTTGGGAAGAATGGGGAAATGGGTTATGCTATTTTGTTATTTGAAAGCATGCCGGAAAGGGACGTGGTTTCATGGACAAGCGTTATAAGCGGGTTTGGGAGAAATGGGTATGGTTGTGCTGTTTTTGAGTCTCTTTGCTTCCGTAAATTATGTCTCTGGTTTCAATTGGAATGGGTGCTCTGAGAACGTCATTTCTTGCATTGGATGCATGGTGTGGTTACTCTGCAATCAAGAGGTAGGATTTGTTTAAATAAACTCTCTTTATCTTCCTACAGTTACTGATGAATAATTTGTGAATGTAATATCATTCACCCGTATCTTCATCCTTAATTTGTTAATGGTATTAACCTTTTTGCATATTTGCATTTAAATGTCATAGAAAATCAGAGGCTGGAAGGGACATTGTGTATCCCAGTGGCGAAGCCACGTGGGAGCGAGGAGTGGCGGCCGCCACTCCCCTCGCCGGGAAACACCACTGGACCCCAGGTCTTCGCCACCCCCCTCGCGCGCCTCGCCGGAAAATAAAGGTTCAAGGCGCCCTTTGTTTTTCTGGGTTTTCTGGGCAATCTGCGGTGCAGATTGCGTTTTTTTTTTTTTTTTCAAAAACCAGGCCAAAACGACGTCGTTTTGGACCTGGTAAAAAAAATATAAAAAGTTAAATCAAAACGGCGCCGTTTTGATAGTTGAATTAAAAAAAAATTATAATGGGGTGGGGGACCGCTTCCGCGTGTCGCCCCAATGAAACCCTAGCTTCTGTCCCCCCCCCCCCCCCCGTACTGCACACCCTTTACTCTTTTCTATCCTTTTCTTCAGTCTTCTTCACCAATAATCAACACACACACAACGGGGCCATCCATCTCAGCCAAGCTGCTCCCCAAACTCCAGCAGCCAAGCCAAAGCCACAAAGTCCTCTTTAATTTCTGTTCCACAAGCCAGTGAGCCACTCTCCTCTCCTCTAAGCTTAAGCCGGCTCCAATCACTATTTAAAGGTAAATTTTTTAATTCTTAAATGTGTAATCCCTACCTTAATTATTTAATACAAATTTCATTTAATTAGTATAGAATTATATGGTAATGCATTAATATGGTTATTGGTTATTGATTATTGATGTGAATCATATTGTTATTTAATACAAGATTGGGGATTTGTATTTAATACAAATTATGAAATTATTTTTAGGGTGAAATTATTTATGTGAATCAAATGATATGGTTATTGATTATTCATGTCATGGTTATTTAATACAAATTATGAAATTATTTTTTAGGTTGAAATTATTGATACGAATTGGGAATTAGAAGAATCGTGTGTATGTATAATTGTACATATAGATAAATTGGAATTTGAATTCTTGAATCTTGATGGATGATTAGTTGAATTGCTTAGTTGTATTCATATGAATAGATTAGTTAAATTACTTAGTTGTATCATATATGATTAGTTGAATTGCTTAGTTGTATTCATAGAGTCTAAGAATTTTTATTTCTTTTCATTTTACAGTTACGTAATGGAACGATACTATAAGAAACAGTGCTTAAATCCTCCTTCAAACATTTTGGGTAGTCATCCTCCTTCAAATATTCCGAGTAGTCATCCTCCTCCTTCAAATATTCCAAGAAGTCATCTTTCAAATATTCCAAGTAGGTCACAACAAAGTGAGGCCACTGAGTTGGATGAAATATTGGCTAATCTTCCTGCAGACCCTGCACATAGACATCGAATGCTTGATTATCCACTTAATTATCGTGAAGCAATTCGTAGACACTATCTCCAAAATGATCCTTGTCAACCTATAGACCACATCATGCGAAGAAAGGTTAGCGACAATCGATGTTTTATCATTGGTTGGTTTGATAAGTTTAAGTGGTTGGAGTATAGTATATCAAAAAAATGCTGCATTTTGCCGTTATTGTTATCTTTTCAAATGTGATTTTGATCAAATGGGTAGCACTGGAAGTGATGTCTTCACTGAGATAGGGTTTACAAATTGGAAGAAAGGATCCAAAAATCTTCAAGTCCATGAGGGAGGTGTTGGAAGTCTTCATAATAAAGCTGTACAACAAGCTAGAGATTTGATGACACAAAAACAACACATTGAAACATTTGTGATTAAGCAAACCGATGAAGCTCGCATTAATTATCGTACTTTATTGAGTGCCTCACTTGAGTGCACAAGATGGTTGTTGGGACAAGGTTTGCCTTTTCGTGGCCATGATGAATCGTTGAAATCAAGCAATAGGGGCAATTATTTGGAGCTTATGCAATTTCTTTCCAAGCATAATGAACAAGTTAGGAAGGTTGTGTTTGAGAATGCTCCCAAGAATCTTAAGTATACTTCTTCCGATATTCAAAAAGATCTTGTCCGTGCTTGTGCCATTGAAACTGTAGGTGCAATCACTAAAGATATGGAAGGTGCATTTTTTTCTCTTTTGGTTGATGGAGCATGTGATTCTTCAACTAAAGAGCAAATGGCGGTGGTATTGCGTTATGTGAATAAAAAAGGAGAAGCAATTGAGAAGTTTTGGGTGTTCAACATGTCTCATCAACAACTAGTAGCTCGCTTGAAGATGCCATTGAGAGATTGTTTGCTACAACAAATTTGAGTATGTCTAAGTTACGAGGACAAGGCTATGATGGAGCTAGCAATATGAAAGGTGAGTTGAATGGTCTTAAAACAAAGATTTTGAATAAATACCCTCAAGCATTTTAAATTCATTGTTTTGCACACCAACTCCAACTAGCTCTTGTATTCGTGGCAAAGGAAAATGAGGATGTTGCCAAATTCTTCATCAATGCTAGTAGTTGGTGAATCTTATTGGATCATCGTGTAAGCGTCGTGATGCATTTAGAGAGAAACAACAAGAACAAATTCAGAAAGCTCTTGATCTTGGTAATCTTGAAACGGGTAAAGGGTTAAATCAAGAAATGAGTCTCATGCGCGTCCATGTGATACACGGTGGAACTCGCATTATGGTACTATAGTTAGTATTATTGTTATGTTTGAAGCCGTGGTGGAGGTGGTTGAATGGATTAAAAGTGATCGCAACCAAGATAATCTCGGTGAAGCAACTAGGTTATTCAAAGACATACAAACTTTTGATTTTACATTTCACCTTTTCTTGATGAGACTTATATTGGGAATTACAAATGAGTTATCACAAGCATTGCAAAAGAAAGATCAAGATATTGTGAATGCAATGGCGTTAGTGGAAGTATGCAAGCAAAGACTACAATCCTTGAGAGATGATGACTTTGGGGACTTGCTTCATGATGTAGAAAAGTTTTGTGAGGCTAACATGGAGGATTTGCATTTCGTATCTGGAAAATCAAGGCGTAAAGCTCCAAAAATCACAAAACTTCCATTACTATTGTGTGGACCTTTATTTTCAAGTCCTTGATATGCAACTAAAGGAGTTGAATGATCGCTTCAATGAGGTAAACACCGAGTTACTTCTTTGTATGGCATGTTTGAGTCCGGTGAATAATTTTGCATCTTTTGACAAAGCAAAAATTGTTCGTTTAGCCCAACTTTATTCTCAAGATTTTGATCGTATGGACCTCATGAATCTTCCAATTCAACTTGACAACTACATTCATGATATGAAGATGCATAGTGAGTTTTCATCATTGAGAGGAATTAGTGATCTTGCACAAGAGTTAGTGAAGACCGGGAGGTGTGAAAGTTATATGTTAGTGTATAAACTTCTTACATTGGCTTTGGTGTTACCGGTTGCAACCGTTTCGGTGGAGAGAGCTTTTTCTGCTATGAAGATTGTGAAAACACCATTGCGTAACAAAATGAGAGATCAATGGTTAAATGATAGCATGCTTGTTTACATTGAGAAAGATGTATTTGCTTTTATTGATAATGAGCCTATTATGCAACGTTTTCATGACATGAAACCTCGCCGGCAACAATTGTAATTTGTTGGTATTGATTAATTATGGAAGACATTACTATATAAAAAGATTTAGTTGTTGCCATTTTTCTTTAACCTTGCATTCTTTTAAGTTCGCCCCTCCCCTCGAGAAATCCTGGCTTCGCCATCCAGTAAATGCAATTGCATTCCACCCCGTGTAAGTTACTTTTTTCTATTAAAGTATTGCGTACTAAACTTGTGAACTTGTGTGCGTTGATTTATTGAAGTCATGAAAACGATAGGCCATATCTGGTTTCCTGTTGAAGGCATCTTGTGACTACAATAATAACATCTGGGAATTTCATAGTAGTAACTTAGTTCATGGTTTATTCTTTGGTTGAATGGTTCAAAAAATAAGGATCAAAATTGTTCCTTGTTTTTGCGATAGATTATGGCTTGGATTATACTTGATTCGTTAGTTGGGAATGTTTAAAACCTAAATTAAGCTTGAAGGGAGCTTAATAATTTCAGATATACGTAGCTCATGCTTTAATAAAGTTTATCAAGAGAGTTTGAGAATGAGATTCTTGTACATTATTGACTGTCATGTTTTCAAGCTATTTTGCCCTCTCGGGACAAATTGAAAAGAGCTATACATACTTTCGCTTGATGAGAGTTGCGATCATACTGCTTATTGTATGAGAGTAGTGATGCTAGCAGTTTCTTTTTAGTCCACGTGCATTTCTTTTATTAGTTTTTTTTCTGAAATTCAATTGCAGCTATGGTACTTTGGTTGTTTCTCAGCAACAACCATGTTGGCAAGGCGCCGGGAATACCTTTACCTAGGGGGTTTGCTTTCTTATGGCCTTTCTATGCTAATTTGGTTACACTTTGCTTCTTCTGTCTTTGGGGGTTCTGCAGCTCTTTTCAAGTTTGAGGTAAAGAATTATCAATTAGTCATGTGAATGATGGGCAATGCTACATTTTGTGCATAAAAGCTAAAACAGGGTGATATATGCAGCTATCTAATCGTTCTTTGAAATTGTGTTGCAGCTGTATTTCAGTCTTGTTGCTGTGTTTGTCCGTATACTGGTTATCATGGTAAGTTCTCGTTAATGCTTTAAGAGCAAAATCCTCATCTCGGTCTTGTTTTCTATCATATTTATGATTGTTGGTGCTTAGACCATCTCCTCTTTTATTTTATATTGTGAGATGTTATATCTATTAGGCTAAGTAGACTTGTTAACTAAAACAGCTATCGTTTCTTTACCACAGTTGAAGAACTCGGCCGAGAAGAATGAGAATAAGAAGAAAAGAAAGGATTGATGCTCCTCCTGTAACCCTGGTGATGCAAAGCAATGCAAAATGAGATCATCACTTGTCTATATAGAGTTTTCCATGTGACCTCAAAAACAAAATGTGTAGTTGATATATTCCCTACTTTTTGGTGGGTGGTAGACTGATAGTGATTGTCTAGTGTTGCTGCCGTTAAACTTCTACTTACTGTTTTGAATGACATCGTTTTAATTCGTGACGAAGTTTATTGTTGTGTTAATAAACTGGCTAGCTCCTCCATCTGCATTACTTGTATGTTGGTATAACAGGTTTCCGAGTAGCGATTTTGATACTTCCGAGTCCTTATGGAACAATTTTCGCCACATCCAATGATTGAGCGTGGGCGTAGCGAAAATCCAGATTTCGCAAATGAAATAATTAAAATTAAAATCACATTTGATGACTATCAGAGCTTTCTTGCAAAGAACGCTGATACTCCTCTTCTGTTTCCGAACTCACAAGGCAATTCCAGTCTCTATTAAATTTATTCCACTGCTTGTTTGACTCAAACATTTTCCTGCACTTTGACAACACATTTTTGTTAATATGTCATCTACACAATAAATGTTGCGCACTAGGAAATACAGACTTGATAAAATTCAGGAGTGCTAAATCTCGATCGGTGGCAATAACCCCAGGAAGACAATAGCCATGAAGCAATGTCTTTAATCTAGTCAGGGCCCAAGTGTAATTGTCTTCTTTCTCAGCCTCTATATACACAAAAGCAACTGAGAATGTCATATTAGTGGATGTCACACCCACAATTTGTAAGAGTGGAAAACGATAACTGTTAGTCTTATATGTGCAATCCATGATAAGTACATGTGGGAATGCTCGTAATATCTCAATACTAATAGGGTGAGCCCAGAAAATGTCAGTCACAGTATCACCACAACTTCTTGAAAGTGTTAGTCAAGGGCGACTCACAAGCAAGTGTTAGTCGAGGGCGACTCACAGTCTTACCTTCACCTCCTAAATCAGACCTTTTAAATAATAATTACCATATTATTCAGCTTTCCCTGTTCACGAACCTATGTAATCAATGCATCTTTTCCTTTGAATATCTGCACGTAACACATATTTTATTTCGAAGTAAAATTCTAAAATTAACTAACACGTCAACGACACTATAAATATATAATTACCTCATAAGTTGTAAATTGATCAATATAATCCACCACACATTCTTGTCCAACCTCGTTGCCTCGATCAGAGGCATCATTGAATTCTTTGTTGCTAAAAAAATAAATGACAAAATTATGATTACAATAAAAAATCTTCAAGCTATGATTAAAACAAATGGACAAATATAGCTAACTGCAGCAATGTTTTCATATTACTGACTAAAAACACATCAAGCCCCATTTTATAGTAAACAACATACAACTTAAACTACCTTTCGGTTTCCTCTTACACAACAAATGGAGTTTGGAATATGTAGGACCAACAATAACTTTCATATTGGGAGGGAGAGGGAGACCCCCGAAAAATACCATCAGAGATTATCCTTGCTTTCTGACTTACAGTAATCAGGTTTATAGGGACAAGGCTCACCTAGATCCCGACATGTATCCCTCAAAGTTAGTAAAACTAAAGATGGCAATGGATATTTTGTAATCCAATAATTGCTTAGTGCAAAGATTTTCCAGTGCAGGAAACAATGTTGGAAACTTTGAGCCAATAAATCATTTGCTTCTAAAATGTTTTAGTCCTTGGGAAATCGAAAAATAAACCCCCAAAAGAATCAACAAGACTGCAGAATCAAGGTTCAAGATTTTTCTCGAAAAAAATCCCTTCACATCAGTGGCAATTCAATGGGAAAGTCCAAACTTCCTCAACTCGAAAAATCTTCCATAAAGCAAAAAATTATAAGCTCATGAAGGACTCACCACCCAACCAAACATGACTGAAAGATATACACATGCGGAACCAGAAACCTTAAAGACATCGTTCAATTCGACAAGTTCTAAACTTTAAAAAATTGAAATCGAACGAACAAAAAATTCATAAATTGAGTCATACCTTGGTTGGAGGATTCAAAACTTCAAAATCACCATCAATCAATAGAAAATTTTATTTCTCTATGAAAGCTATTAGGGTTTTAGCAGAATGAACGTATGATAAACAAAGAATGATCGTAGGATTTAATTATAGTGTTTGGGTTTATTGATAAATTTGAGTTTTATTATTAATTTCAGTTTGTACTTAATAGTAATTATGCAATAGGGTAAAATAGACAATTAACATTCAAAATTTTAAGTTAGGTGTAAAAAGAGGTTGCATGGGTTTAAATAAAATTTCCCTATATGTTGTTGTTTGTATGGATTGAAGTTGTGAACAAGTATATAAGTTCAATTCTTTACGTCTCTTCGACCTGAACAATGAAAGGTATAGATAACTTCCTGCACTCGAATCTTTTACCAAAAAAAAAATGCTTATTAGTAATATTATTGTCACTTAGTACTACAATTTAATTGTATTCCTCTTTACTATTCATTTGTAAGTGAGTGGTCGACAATGACGAATTTGAAACATATTATTGCTAGCTCATTGTGAAGCTAAGCTCATCATCTTTCCCCTTAGTGTAGATAATATATGTTGTTTAAAAAAAGTAACATTATTATATCAAGCCCTTTATCTAAAGTGGTCTTCATTGTTTGATAGAAATAGGGTTTAATTATGGGGCCCACTTCACATCCAACTTCAATGATCCAAACGATTTATTTTTCAAGTTGCACTTCATTAATCATCCTTGCAAAATATTAGCAAAATAAAAAATGTTTAAGGTATCTAATTGAGGTCAAAGAAATTGACAAACACTGTGTTCCAAAAAACATTGAAATTTTATCAAGACAATCAAATAGGTAAATGGTTTCAAGATTGAATTATCATTTTGCAAGGATGATCTATGAATAAAGACTTGAAAAATAAAAATTTCGGATCATTGAAGTTCAATGTAGAGTAGACCTGCCAACTAGTTCCCATTTTTATATTAAAAAATGGGGATCCCTTTGAATGAAGGCTATCATTATTTTATAGTGGCAATCGCCTTGTAATTTAAAGGATTAAGAATATTCACTTTTGCAGTTGGTGTCCTATGATGTATTTATTCTTCCCCGCGCAACACTTGGGTAAAAAGAAAAATAGTACTCTCGATGCCTATGGCTACTCTGACGGATGTACAAAACTTATTTATTTTTCAGGTGCACCATTAGAGTTTGCAAGATAGAATTTCAATAACACAATATACTTATTTTGCTTTGTCCGGGGTGGTCAATTGGCCAGCCCCACTTGTTGTGCACCAGTAAAGACAACAAAGAGAATTTCCATACATTGGATACTTATTTTGCTTCATTAGGCAGGTCGACCGATCACTCACGCTAACACCCCGATGTGCACCAAAGAGAGTCCGCATTTTTTCCACTGGATTTTTACTACCTAGCTAGGTTTTAACAAGGCACCCATCCTAAGCTGATCATACCCTTTTGAGCTCTTCTACTTGCGTCCAAAAAACGTATAGTTTTGACTTAATGCAACTTCTCACTTTTCTCCTTAGTCTATGAGTTTTATCCTACCTTGGGTTTTACCATAGCGAGGTTTTGTGAGTTTTACTTTTTTATGCATTATTCCGTTGATTTGAGACTCGCATTTGCTCATTGTGTCGACGACTTCATCAACTATACTTACTTCATCGCTGAAGACCATATGCGCCATTTGTTTCAGTATTTACACACTCAAGGGGGAGTGTTGCAGTCCTATTGGAATATGAATGTGATTGTGTAAATCCTAACATATCTAGGGATATCTTTTATATTCCCTTTAGTAGTTAATATCCTATTAGAGTTGTAATCCTAAAAGGGTAAAGAATTAACCTTCCCTACTACTATAATAAAGGCACAATGGAGTGAAATAACATATACCCGCAATTACACATTTCTCTCATCTCTACTATTGCTACACCTTTCTCTCTCTATGACCTCCATAATTATTCAGTAAATTATGCCTACAACATAGAAGTGTTATTTGATTCAAAATATATAATATGGATTTAGTATAATTTTTTTTAATAATTGGAACAAATTAATTTACTTCTCAATTAATGCAAAATATATATATCACAAAAAAGGTAAATTTTTGGTATGATATGGATACAATTAATGCAATACAACAATTTATATATTTTATTTCACTTTTTTCTACAACTTTTAATTTGGAATAAATTTAGGGATTTGAGAAAGTGGCATGGGTATAAATAAATTGTATTAGTAGGTCAATTGTGTTCCGATGTGGCTGCAGATTTTAAATTTGGGCTTTTATTAGACGTTTATATATAGATGAGTTTTTATCAAGAAATCATGAATTGTAAGGGCCAAAATCTAAAGCACCCAAAATTATATGGAAACGAAGAGACGGATTTGGTATCAATATGGTTTTCTTTGGGTAAGAAATTAACCTACCAGGTTCATTTGAGTTCGAATATCATCTCGAAGCCTTTTCATCGTAACCCCAGTTACCGTCAATTTCCGACCGTCACTCCTGCAACGGGGATGATGTATATTGGAGTGAAGGGGAACACTCTCATCACAAGAAGCAGAAACATTGTGATTGAAGTTCCAGCCAATATGGAAGCCCCAGCAAACTCTTGGGACATGCTTAGCCCTTTGCCCTGCTGTATAACCAGCAACAGTCACCTGCAGAGGCAAAATCACATAAAGATCATAAAGAAACTGCACCAACAATTATTACAATTTGATGTTGTAGCAAAATAACGAGACGAGAACAAATAGAACCGATTATAAACTTTTAATCAGAAATATATATATATATATATATATATATATATATATATATATGAACACTAATGAGAGTCAAGAAACAATAATGGCTACTAAACCGTGCCATACATCCGGTTTATGTCACTCACGCTTGGATTTAATATAAAAGGTAGTTCAAAAGATGAAAAACGTATCTCTTTATTCTCTATCTTGATATCAATTATAAAAATAAGTGATCATAAATGTGAACGAGAGAACAAGACTCATGAAACACAATTACTTTTGTGTCTAGATTTCTAAATTGAAGCAGAAGAAAAACAGAGGCCTCTGCTTCTAGAAAATTAAAAAAAATAAACAAACCCAACAACATGCGTCAAAAGCTAAATTTATGAAAGGGTATTGACTATTGAATATTGACCAAACAATCAAATTTTCTCGGAAACCAAACACATGGCAAGAAAAGTTAGCACAAAAGAGACAATTACAAACCATGAAAAGGTAAGCCAGAACGATCCAAACGGCATTGTCCCGAGTGAAGATGAATTGAAGAACAAACCCGATAATCGAAAGCTGAACGAAGGCTCTAAAAATGGAGTAAATCATCTCTCTACCCAAACCCAGCTTCTCCACGTATGACAAGGCAACCGCCAGGAACACCACCACCATCCCGCCAGCGGCTTCACCATGCCCTTGAGAAAGTCCACTGTCGATGCAAATTTTCGCCGTCTTCAGTCTTAACGAAAATGCACCTGCAAAACAATCAACACCTTTGATCAAAGACCTAAGCCTCACGTACCCACGAGGTAGGAGGGAGGGGGTTAGGTCAACGGATCTCTGATGCCTAAGTTAATTTCTCTGAGAGAATAAAGTGTTTAGGGCTAGGGCTAGCCATATAGTGCTTAGCTCTCAAAATTTAGTAGAATATGAGGTATTTATAGGGCTAGGGTCAGCCATATGGTGTTTAATGGAGAGATATTCTATAATTATTTCCAAAATATTTAATTGGAGATAATATCTTAAGATAATAGGGTAATACTCCTTAATTGATTTAAATTAGGATTACTTACATGATTGGAGTCAATCTTCAATTAGGAATGCATTAAAGATAGGATTTGGGTAATTAATCCTTATCTTTGATTCCTTGCCAAGGGCAGATGAGTTGTGGGCAGTTGTGTTCAGCTGCTGAGTCCTCCAGGGATGTGAGCTGCGCGTGGGAGCATCTGAGAAGTCTGCCCATTTATTAAGGGCAATCTTGTCCTTCTTGAATAAAAGTTCACGTGTCACCTCTAGAATTTTTGGGGATTATTTTAGGCTCCACAAATACCCACATACCTACTGTGTTGCACGCATGGAAAGGGTAGTAGGTGTAGAAATCTCAACCTGCTTGGATTTGTAGAATTATTTCCCAATTTGAACTTTATCTTCTTTCTTGATTTGGAGATAGATTTCTTCTAGGAAAAGGAAAACAATTGCCCCCAATACCTATTTAATTCTGCCTTAAGCAGGGGATTAAATAAATTTGGAGAACAATCTTTATTCCTACAAGGAAGAGAAGCCATAGGATATTTTTTTTCTTCCCCTTCCCTTAGCGTTCTTCTTTACTTGTCCTTGCAAAGAGTCGTCTCTCGTTGTTGTTGTCCTTTTCCGTGTCGCACCAAGGTAAGAAAAATTTAAATTTTCTTCTTCTTGATTTTTTGGAAACCTTGGGCTTGAAAAATTGGCTTGGTTGCCGAGATGCATGAATGGCGTGGCAGGGAGGCACGGGTGCAGGTGGCGCAGTAAGGGTGTTGGTCATGTGGGAGACTGGCTCGGGCTGGGTTTCTAGGCTGCTGGGTGGAGTCTGAGTGGAGGAAGGAGAGGGTCGGTGTGGGCCGCCCTCCGAATTTTACTGGCCAGACATGCATATATACAGAGAGCGCCCTTAAAGAAATAGATGCCCTTTTTTTTCCAACGAAAAAAAAATAGGAATTAGTTGGGGGCACCACCTACATCAGACTTCACAGGTCGAATTGTTTATCATTCAATGAACCTCATAGATTATCTTTGTAAAATATTAACCAATTTAAAAATATTTGAAGCATCTAATTGAGTTTATTTGACGAACATTATGCTAATAAATATTGAAATTTCATCGAAACAAATATAATAGGGCAAATTTGGATTGAATTGAATTTTTTGAAGGATGATTTATAAATCGAAACTTATAAAATAGACGATTCGAATCATTGAAGTTTGATATGAGTAAGTCCCACAATTAATCTTCATTTTTTTTTTTGCAAAAACTAAAATCGCTTCCTTTAAAGAACCTGAATATATATACACACACACACACACATATATTAATCTATATATCATTACAGTTATATATAGGTTAATGAAAACTTATTAGTTTCGTGTTAGTTAAATCAATGATTTTTTCCGCTTGGTGAGGATTAGAGATCAGCCAGCTGAAAGTATATTTGACGCCATAGCTTTCCAATCAGCACTTGTTAGCGGACAAAATAGGAGTGTTGATGAGCATCGCAGCACAGGAAATGGTTTGGAGGATGACAATAATAGTTTGCAGCGTCAAGAATTAGGACAAGTTATCGATGTCAACTTGTCCGCGTGGAAGGATTTCTATCCGACAGGTATTTCTCTTTTGCATGTTCTGATAATTATATCCTTGGAAAAAAAAGTACCTTTATTATCTCTACAGTTCATGCAACTAAACAATGACCAAGTCATCGTGCAAGGAATTGAAATAATTGAAAAATAAATAAATTTATTGACAGAAAATGAACACTTTCCTGCAGCGTCTTCAGGGGGACGAGGACTCTATATGTCGTCACAGTTCAATCCACCACCAAGCATCTTGCACCCCAATCAAGATCAAAACCAACTCTGACATTTTATATATATATATACAACTCTGACATTTTATATATATATATATATATGTTGTGGTTACTACTCGCATGATTTTACTGCTTTTCCTTCGAGTCTTATTACCTTGTTGAATGTCAATACAGAACTGTAAGAATCCGTAATGAACTTTTCCCTTGTTGCTATCATGCTATATAGTATATGCATGCATGACGTTTTACATAGTAAAAAAAAGTTACTCTTATCATATTTTTCATATCACATTTGTATCATCTCTATAATAGAGATTCAATCCACATATGTTGATACGCCATTCCTCTATTAAAGAGATGATACAAATATGATGTGAAAAATGTGGTAAGTGTAGTTGAAGTTATATTGAGGAGAATGATAAGTATTATGTGCCTCTAGGAAACTAAGTGGGTTGGTCTTAAGGCAAAAGATTTCGAAAACATAGGTTTTAAGCTTTGGCATTCGATCATAAACAGATCGAGAAGCAATGTTGGCATCATTGTGGAGACTCTAACAAAAGATGTACATGTTAAAAGGGCTAGGGATAAAATTATAGCAATCAAAATTATACTAGGACAAGAACTCATCAATGTGATTAGTGTGTATGCACCTCAAGTTGGGTTAGGTGAGAGTTTGAAGGACAAATTTTGGGAAGATCTTGGAGTATTGGTTCAAGGACTCTCTCACAGGGAGAAGCTACTCACAATAGGGGATTTAAATAGACATGTAGGCAAGGAGACAAGCAAATACAGAGGGTTTCATGGTGGTCATGATTTTGGACAGAGAAACGAGGAGGGGAAAGACATTTTGAATTTTGCAATGGCCTATGATCTCTTTCTAGACAATACCTCATTTAAGAAGAGAGAATAGCATGTGATCACCTACAAGAGTATGTCATCGTAACATAGATAGATTTCTTTTTAATGAGGAAAGGGATCATATAACTAGTAAGGATTGCAAAGTTTTATCGGGAGAGAGTCTGACTAACCAACATCACATGTTGGTGATGAATGTACATATTAAAACAGATAGAAAAAGGAACAACACCCTTAAATATGGAAGAACTAGATGGTGGAATCTAAAAGGAGAAATACAAGTCACTTTCAACGAGAAAGTACTCACCCAATTCATTTGCGATACAAAGGGGAATGCTAGTCAAATGTGAGATTTCATGGCTAATTGTATCTGAAATGTTGCAAAAGGGGTATTCGGAGAGTCCAGGGGTTTTGCTCCACATCAAAATAAATCTTGGTGGTGAAATGAAGAAGTAAATGAAGAGGTTAAGGCTAAGAAGGAATGTTGGAAGACCTTATACAAGAATAAAACCATTGTTCTAAAAATTGGCCTAAGAGCTAGGATTCGGTTTGCCATTGCGTTATGTCCAAAACGTTAGGAAAAATCGGTGAGCTGTTAGACGCCAGCCTAGGTGCTCCTAGGCGACCTAGACGGCTGCCTAAGCGCTCCTAGGCGACCTAGACAGGTTGCCTAGGCGGAGTGCAATATTTTTCTGGGAAGAAAATCCAAATATAACCCAAAATCGCAAAAACTTTCTCACCACTTCGACTTCTTGTCTCTCTATACCATGACTTTCTCTCTTTGGCCATCGCGTTTCCCTCACTACACTCCATCGAAGAATGGGAATTACAAAGCAAAATAGAAGAAGAGGAAACAAAAATAAAAAATAAAAATAAAAAAGATGAGAATTTATAGAGCGAAGAACAAGAAGTCAAAAGAAAAAGTTAGGGCTCTTTCCCCATTTTAGGAACGAGAATATTCGATGTAAAGTAGAAGTGACCACAAATGAAGATAAGATGAGAGAAAATTGGTTAATGCGATTTGGACATGTGAACCGAAGACCTACAGATACTCTGGTTAGAAAATGTGACTATGAGACAAATGTTTAAGGAAAAATGGGTAAAAGAAAACCTTGGAAGACTTGGAAAGAAACTTTAAGAACAAACATGGAGTACTTAGAGTTTACGGAAGACTTAATGCAAAATCGAGCGCAATGGCATTTGAAGATTTATACAGCTGACCTCACATAATGAGATAAGACTTTGTTTTTGTTGTTGTTGTTTGATAATTTGGTATTTGTTATTGCTAATAATTTATAGCGTAAATACCCGACACAATCTCATACCTCATGTTTTAAACATTGCAATGTCATACCTCAATTTATGAATTCGTTGCAATGTCAGACATCTGTTAAATATTTATTCAATTGGGAAGGGATCCTCTCCAGATCCATTCCACCCAATCACCTAATCCGGGTCCTTGAAATTTGATCTAACAGCTCAATTTATTATAACTTTTAAAGGAGTTTCCTATTTATAGTCGTTAGATCAAATTTCAAGATTCGAATTGATTGATTGGATGAATTTGATGGAAGTGATCTAGAGAGGATCTCTTTCCCATTCAATTTAGCTTTTAAATGATAACGTGGCAGGAGCTGGGCTCACTCTTTAGGCAATTGGAATAAAAAATTAATTAATTATTAATAAATTAAATAATTATTAACGAAAGATTGAAAGCCATGAATGATGACAGATTAGAAATGAAAGGTTGAGAGTAATGGATGAAGGCTTGAAGCCGTTTTTCTCTCTTTCGTCCTCTGCTTTTTCTGTTTTTTCTTTTCCAGATTTATTTGTAATTGGGGAAGGTGGATGAGAGAGTTATGACGGGGAGAGAGTGGAATAGACAGAGTCGATGGTGAGGTGATTTGAGTCCGTGGTGTTGATATTTTCGAATTTGAGAGATCACTGAGAGTCGGTAGAGGTGATGCTTTGGGTTTTGGGATTTGCATCTACTTTCAATCAACGGCAAGGAGAGATGTGGTCCGCAGGCTCTCCCATAAGAGCACCTCCAGCGGGGGAGGTTGCTCCGGGGCCAGGCCTCCAAACAGTAGCAAATTGCTGGGGGGATGACCTCCAGCGTTGGGAAGCCCGAGCGACAGGCGAGGCCCAAGGAGCAGGCCCGTCAAGGATTGCCAGCCCGAGAGCCCGAGGGCTGCGTCAGGCGCGTGCGTTTCACGCGCGTGTAGGCGTGAGTCATCCGACAAAAAAACAGGGTTGGGGCCCGCGACGTCAGTTGAGAAAAGTTACCGTTGGGGAAGCCACGTGGCTTCCCCATGTCCGTTCGATTGAAACGGTCCTATTTTATGGACCGTTGGATTTCCAACGGTAAAAAACATTTAAAAATCTCATTTAATTTCATCCGTTTGATCTAAGATCAACGGTCCACGTTATTAGGCTTTGTAAATTAAAAAAAAAACAATTTAAAAATCTAAAATGTTACCGTTGTGACACGTGGCACAATCTGGAGTGTTGGAATTTAAATTTTTTTAAATCCAACGGCAAAGATTAATTAGGTGAATAAAAATTAAAAAAAAATGTAAAAAATCCGAAAAAAAAATTATGAAAAATTATAAAAAATTTTGATTTTACTTTTCTATAAATACCTTCTCATTATCTTCTACCATACACCACAAGTTCATATTTTCTCAACTACTTTCAACCATATTCCTATCTTTCTCTCAAAGTTTCAATCCAATTTTTTTCCAACAAAATGACTACTCAAGCAGGTACGAATTGGACGCTTCTTGAAGATGTTGCGTTGTGTACTAGTTGGGTTCAAGTTACTCATGATTCAATTATGGGTAATGAGATGCAGTTGCAAGAAATGTGGAGTCTTATTCATACCAATTATCTTGAGAAAATGGGTGGGCAAAGAACTAAAGAATCGATGTCCAGTCGTTGGAAATTACTTAGTCAATCGTTTAGTACATGGAGAGATGCCTTGGCACAAGCTAGTGGTAATCTTCGAAGTGGGGAAAATTTAGCGGATCAAGTAACAATATATTATTTATTTGTTTGTATTATTTGTTAGCTACTTTCATTATATTTATTTGTTTGTATTATTTATTTGTTTACCTACTTTCATTATAATTGTTTGTTAGCTACTTTCATTATATTTATTTGTTTGTATTATTTGTTACCTACTTTCATTATAATTATTTGTTAGCTACTTTCATTATAATTATTTGTTTGTATTATTTATTTGTTACCTACTTTCATTATAATTATTTGTTTGTATTATTTATTTGTTACCTACTTTCATTATAATTATTTGTTTATATTATTTATTTGTTACCTACTTTCATTATAATTATTTGTTAGCTACTTTCATTATATTTATTTGTTTGTATTATTTGTTACCTACTTTCATTATAATTATTTGTTAGCTACTTTCATTATAATTATTTGTTTGTATTATTTATTTGTTACCTACTTTCATTATAATTATTTGTTAGCTACTTTCATTATAATTATTTGTTTGTATTATTTATTTGTTACCTACTTTCATTATAATTATTTGTTTGTATTATTTATTTGTTACCTATTCTCATTATAATTATTTATTCTCCCGCATTGTGTAGGAACTTCAAGCACAAGCTTGGTATGGTGCCAAAACCAAAACCAAAAACAAAACATTCACCCGATTTGAATGTTGGAATATTGTCAAAGATTGTCCTAAATTTAGAGTTGTGCATGTCGGTCCAGAAGTTTTCATGAATAGCACCCCTCTACACTCTACACCCAAGCATGCCTCGCATGATCATGATGAAGATGATTATGAAGAAGTGCCTGAAACACCCCCCATTGAACAAGCGTCGGGGTCGACCCGTTTTCCAATTAGGACTCAAGGTAAGAAGGCTTCAAAGAGAAAAGGTAATGCTTCCAAGAATGATTATGCAAAGTATATGGAAGAACTTGCCTGCCAAGGTGAATTGAATTTGGCCCGAGAAATGGCTAAATTTAAGGCTAATAAAGCTAGAAAGGATGCAAAAGCTACAACTTTTGAGAAAAAATTTGAAGCTGATGAGAGAGAAAGAGAACTACTTCGGCAAGAAAGGGAACATAGAAAAGAAGAAAGAATGGTTGAACGAGATCGTGACATTATGAATGAGCCTTTAGAAGGGAAGTCTCCAGACTCTAAATGTTTTTGGAAGTCGAAGAAAACGGACGTGGTGCGAAGGAGGCGTGCAAGAGAAGCGAGAGCAAGAGGAGATGGTCCTAGCACGACAAGAGAAGATCATCCTAGCACGACAAAAGAAGATCATCCTAGCACCATAAATTGGTTAGGTGATGGTTATCCATTCACGAACCCATAATTTTCCAATCAATTAGGG